TTTATCTTTCGACTTTGACTTAGCATTGTGGAAGCCACGAGAGGGAGATTAGAGTTCTCCCCCACCGACGGAAACAAATACGACTTTCGGGGATTAGCTTCCCCCCCGATGGATACAAAGGCTGCTTTCAGGGGCTCGGTTCCCTCTCCGATGAATACAAAGGTCGCTTTCTTAAAAAGTGGGATCGGAGACAAGTGGGAATCCATTGAAGCGGAACAAGGAGCGTTTCCAGTGAACTCTTCTTTCGACTGCGGAGAGATTTGAAACGGGCGCATCACACTTGTGGGAGGAGCTTCTCCTACCCTCTTGACTTGTAACCGACTATAACAGTCAAAGTGTAGTCAAAGTTTTAATGAACGTACCAAATACGGACACATATACTAAGAGCGTTAAGTCAAAGCAAGTTCACTGCGCTTGATTGGCATGGCCGATATTTGCACGCGAACAGTAAGATGATGGATGTCGTGACGTTGCACTTTTGGCGTTGCATGACTGGGCCCATGAGCACGTCGCGTTCGCTGCGCTCTGACGTAAGATAAACTAAAGGGTAACCGGACGAAAGCTCACCGGACAAAAGCTCACCGGACAAAAGCTCACCGGACAAAGGCTCACTGGACAAAAGCTCACCCGTTTTTGCACAGACCCGGACAAAAGCTCACCTAATTATTATTATTATTATTTTTTTTTGGCTACCAGGGCGAATCATGGGCTGGGATAAAGTGCGGACGCGATGAACATTGCACCATTTTCAGGAAAACTGCTACCCCCCATCCCATGCAAAGGTGTCGACAGATAAGCCATAACAGGCGGAGAAGCAACGATTTTGGAAAAAAAAATAATAGGTCACCGGAAATAGAGTGGAGCTGATAAGTCCCTTCATAACTAATGAATAGGTTTGTTGGGGCATAGCCTCCTCTATACGGAGGCTATGGTTGGGAGGAGGCTATGGTTGGGGTTCAGGTTAATAATTGAAGTGGGTGAATGGCTAAGAAAATTATATTGTACCCTTCATTCTGCGTTGTAAATGTATTTGAAATTAAGTATTATCTGAGGGTGATGTGGAAGGAAAACTGAAGCAAAAGTGTATTATACAAATCATTGAGTTGCCAAATTTAAAAAAAAAAATATTTTGAAGAAACGGGAGTTGGGTTTTGAGGACAAGTACAAGACAATTGACCACTTTGGGAAGCTGTGCGGAATTTTTGGATAGAATGGGATTTTCTCCTGGTGAGCTTTTGTCCGGGTCTGTGAAAAAATGGGTGCGCTTTTGTCCGCTGAGCTTCTGTCCGGTGAGCTTTTGTCCGGTAAGCTTTTGTCCGGGATTCAAACTAAAGTATACACCAACTCATGTTTACAAACAAACCGGAGCGCCCGGAGCGCCCCTAGCGGAGGCCACCGGCGCCGCGCATGCGCGATGGGGGTGTGGGCAAAAAGCTCGCCGTCGCCCATAAACAAACCATTGAAATGCGATGTTGTCGGCGCCGGTGTGAGTCCCCGCGCTCTTTTTCGCGTTGAAACTGTTGATTCCACGTCCTCCTAACGATGTCTGACTACTTGAGCAGCGTCAGCGAAATTAACGAGGCTCGTTACACCGCAAAACTTCGCGTGAATCGTCTGACATGCGGCGATTCATTCCGCGTGGACGCCGCAGAACGTACGCTAAAGCCTGATTCGCATGATGAGATTTCGCTCGCAATTTTCAGAAGCGACGTCGCTCGAACTGCAAAAGCGTGAACCGTAGCTGAGATGGTCGACGTCGATACTGAAAATCGCAAGCAGAATCTAACCAAGTGAATCAGGCATAACAAGTCGGTGATGGCCACTGGTAACAATGATCAACATCTCCTTGTATCTACTGTTTACGTCGAGCCTGCTTACCAATACCAACCTTCAAACTTAAGTCTTTTAAGGCCTGCACTTAATTCTTATCGCTTGCAAGTACCGGGCCCACGTTTGGTCTACGGGCCGGTGTCCTCTAAAAGAGCAGACGACAAGCAGAAACGTTTGAAAGAGCAGACGACAGTTCGAACGATTAGGCGACCGTTTGAACTTGAAGACGCACTGAACGTAGTCCGCAGGTGGTCCATACAACTTGACGGTTTTCCGGAGTTCATTTTGGAACAAAACAAATAAATCTGATGACTACAAGTATCCGTGAATTCAACCCAAAGTGCTTCCCGCCCAAGCAATCGTGGTCCAACGGCGTCTGGTTTTCCCTTTTCACGGGACATATCCGCGTTTTCGGACGAACCGAGCGCATGAAAACTGACCTTCAAACCTTTCTCGACACTTTTGGTTCGGCCCCAGTCCCGGCGTTTTGTCTGGTTCCTTTCAAAACAACGCAGGAATACACGTCTGGCATGGGGACTTCTGCCCACAGCCCCAGACCGGAAGTGCGACCGACGCGCCACCACCGCGCCGTGACGTAACAGAGATGAGTTCGTGTATAGCACCAACGTTACTTTATAAACGATTTCGAGACCACCGACAGTATTCTCGGCTATTTCTTCAGAAAAGATTCCGGAAGAACATTACAGGGCATGACCCAGTCCGTATAGGCAACAGTTCAACGGTGAAAGTTAAAATGGCGTGAAAATATAATTTAGAACAAATTATTTTAGACATTCGAAGTATTTTGGCTGAATAATTCAGTTACGCTTCCATCGCGCATACTGATACAAGCATACACATATGCGCAGCATGTCAATTTCAATACTATCAATAAAACATTACACGGAGGTATTGCAGCATAATGATTTATACTTAAAATAATAGCAATCACACGGAAAAGGAACTAAGTACGCTAAAACGACCTGCCGCAGATACGCAACCAGAAAAAAAAAAAATAACTTTCGGCACATCATTATTATACTAATGACACGTCATTGTTTTGCAGCCCGATTCCACATGGACTATTACTGCGCTACGCACGGTGAGGAATTGAGTAAGTCACGTAAACGACGCACACAGATACTTTTGCTGATCAGCTCCCGTTGCCAAGGACGGTCGTGCAACCATTCAGACGTTCTTGGCAAACGCAAAATGCTACCTTTCGGTTGCAAAAAGCTACGAACAGGCGAACTAATGACTACGCGCTCAAACCATACATTTCCTTGCCTTCTCGGCTGGTTGTTCCCTGCTTTTCTTGACAACAGGAACTGACCTCCCTCGTTTATCTTGGTCTGTAGCGGTTCGCCAAAAAATATTGACGGAAACGCTGTCTTTTCATTGTGCTATTTCAGTGAAAGTCCGCCTTTTTGCGCGCTCATTTGAAAATCGAGACAGCAACCGGTGCACGAAAGTTCGAATCTCTGTAGAAACTGTGCGGTTGGAACCAGATGCCAAAGTTTCAGAACAAACCGATATCGTATCTTGTTCCAAAGTTATACGTGATTTTCTGAATTTTTAGACGGGAAAATGGCGGCCGACGGAGGGCTGTCGAATACATGGAGCTGAATGGCGTTAGTTACCGAAAACGGGCCCCATTTTCCCACGGAAATTTTCAGAAAACCACTTCTAACTTTGACTGAGATACCGGTCCAGCTCGCTTGCACCTTTGCATTTAATTGCATTATAATCATAGTTCTGAAACTTTAGTATCTGGTATCTAGCGCTACACCTGGCCGGAAAATGAGCGTTCGGGGACGCAACTTATATTTGCGGTAAAAAAAAAAAAAAAAATATATATATATATATATATATATATATATATATATATATATATATATATATATATATATATATTTTTTTTTTTTTTAGTTGGGGGGGGGGGGGGACTTGTATATTGCCTTCACGTTGTTTTTTAATGTTCATTTTAGAGTGTGTGGAGTCACAAAATACACTGTATTGGACTCCTTATTGCTCTGCAGTTCAACCATCTTCAGTCAAAGTTGCCGAAGTCCAAACATTCAAGAACCAGTAGTGCAAAAAAAAAAAAATCTTTGTTAATAGTGTGTCCGTCACGGGACAAGCGAAGTATATTTTCCCTCGTGATAATGCAATTAATGCAAGGGTGCAAGCGAGCTGGACAAGAATAACAATAATGATCCCTGGAGAAGGGGGACAATGGACAAACACAAATATCCAAACACAGCTAGGTGACTAATGCGCAATTATATATATATATAAAAAAAAGCCGCCTGGTCCTGGTATTGAATCATGCGCCGATGTCAGCAGGGGCGGATTTATGGGACAGGCCGGGGGGGGGGGGGGGGGGGGGGGATGACGTTACGGCCCAAGCGTTGCCCGATATTTGCCATGTCACCAAAACTAAACTTTTGGCTGGTGTATATCTCTTTTTTTTTCATTAAAAGGAATTGACCTTCGAAAGCTTCAATAAGGAAAGAGGGGGGGGGGGGGGGGGGGGGGGGCTGGGGATTTTTTTTTTCTTCTGGATATCAGGTAGTTCATGTCGGAAGGGAAATGAGACAAAAAGTAATTTAGGAAGAATCGCTGTAGTCGGTCGCACGATCCAGTTATTGCGTTGTGCTCGCCCTTTGGGTGGGCACATATGAAACAGTACCAAACTAAGGAAATGCGCTTGCAGCCTGAACTGCTGTTGACAGCGTACAGAACGCTTTACATTCAGTGACATTCCTGCGTGTAGTCGTCGCTAAACAAATCATATTTCCCGCGTACAAACTCCGACAAATGCGCTGGGACCTGGCGAACATGGGGAAGTTTCGTCTCTAGGAAAGGGAAATCTGGGACGACAGAGAGCAACACTGCAACAGCGACCGCTGCCTGCTCGAAACACACGTGTTGGACGTTCGCCAGAACCATGCGTTCCATGACGCGACGCGCCATCGCAGCTCCCGTCCGCACCGCTAGCTGGAATGCCAAGAACGCGTTTCCACTAACAAAGGCACAATCCACGTCAACCCAGCGTCACCAACGCGGGCCCGGCGCCCAGCTAGCCCTAAATTCCCACGGCAAGCGACGGCTTCCGCCTCCGAGTTACTCCAATCCCCCCGGGTAGCCAGTGGCTGTGGGCAACTCACCGCAGACTACGACTTTACGGCGGTGGAGTTCTCGGCGGTACGCTTGAAGCTTGACCGGTGGTGTATTTGATACGAAACGTTTCACGACGGCGGCAACGTCAAGCGTCACGCCGCGCATTGCACACAACGTCCGCAGACACGACGGCGACCGCGGCATGCTTGTTGTCGATCCTGCGAACGGCAAAACGGTCCAGGCTCACTCACGGGCGCCCGATGCAACTCTCCGCTTCCCGAGGCGTCACGTTATCCCGACAACAGGGCGATAGGGTCCGCAGCTACGACCACAACTAGCCGGTGCCGCCATACCGGTTCACCACCCTCGCGAGACGAGGCGCGACGGCGCAGGCCCGCCCGCAGCGCCGGGGAGCAACCGCCCGCGTCTCCTGACGCAGAATCGACGGTCGCTCCAGCTAGCTCCGCGGCCACATGCCCCTTTGTTGCGCCGGTTGTTGTCGTCGTCAACCGTGCGGCTTGATAAGGAAAGCGACTTCTTTATCCCCGCACCGATTGTTTTCTCCGCGAGATTCCCAAGCGGCCTTGAACGCGACGGCTAAAAAACGCGGAAAATGGAGCTCTTTCTTTTTTATTGCGTCGGCAGCGTGGCGCGCGGCGGCGTGCGGCGCCGGCAACGGCAAGACGGCAACGTCAGCGCGTTCCGGTGGTTCCGGTTTCGAGAGTACAATCAATATGGCGCTGCTCTTGCGCGCCGGCAGCGCCGCTATCCTGGCTGCGGCCGCTTGGCGAATTTCGGTGGCGCGGTTCGTTCGACTGCTCTCCGCAAGCAAGACATTCCAATTCATTCATACAAGTTAAGCGCGCAACGCGCCGTACGCGCGTCTCACGGCGACGATGGCTTTTTTTTTTTCGTTTTTTTCATCCGGGGGTGCCGAAAGAATCGCTGTCGCATTTATAAGGAAGAAGCGTGAATTCACCCACTTCCCCAAGCCGGAGTCGGAACAAGCGGCCACGCGCTGGGGTTGGCAAAGCACAGGACACGCGCTGAGGTTCAGACATCGTTAGGGTTCGGCTATTCCCGGCATTGAAGTGACTGGACAAGAGCCACTACCCGAGTGCTCGTCGAGGCATTGATTGACACGAGCTCAAACGAAGTGCTCACGCAGTGCTCGCGTCTAATCTACGAGCCGCGTTTGACTATGACCACGACTGCCCCCTCTCTATTACTGCGTGAACACCGCAACACCCCGTGACTACGTCGTCAAATTTTGCGGAGACTGAAAGAAAAGCACGCTTTTATCTGCGAGAAAGATTCCTGATGAGTGGCGTTGCGTGCGAGTATACGGCGTGCAAGTACGTCCGCTATTTGTGCACCTTGTGCGTTTGTTTACCGTCCAAATGCGTCCGCGTGCTTGTTTCCCCTCGACCTCAACCAAAGACGGTGCGCGCTTGGCGCTGCCTCGTCGTGCGTTCAGAACTTCAGATGCGCCAGAGACGCGTTTTGCAACAGTGCTCGCCGTATAGGTCCCACGAATACCATAAGCTTGCGAAAAGTGCGTGCGATAAAGGGCCCCGTTAAATAGGACCTCATACACTGTAGCATGTCGTCATCAATTCCTGCTCCTCTTAATTTAAGAATGAATGCATAACGGGGCGCAGTGTCTAGGGCCTTCGACAAGTCGCTAAACACTGCATCAACACTTGCAAAATAATTAAAAAAAATTGTCAATGACAGGGTGAGAACAACAAGGGGCCTCAGTTGTTCCACCTCCAGTGCGAGCTTCCCACCTTCGACGACGTTTCGGTGCCTCGTGCACCTCGAGCGCTCGCGTAGAGCCAAAGCACGGCAGTGCTGGAGGTCGGCCGTTCGAAAGACTCCTCGTCCTGCCGTTCTTGCTCCGTTAATGGCATAGCGCAGGGGTGGCCGAATCGCGGCTCGCTAGCCTCGTACGGCTTTTCGCGTGCGACCTTTCCAGGGTGCTTATCACCGGGGCGAAGAATGCTGAGTCACTGAGCTGTGGACGCACGAGCAGCGTCTGGCACACCGCACAACAGAACAACAGCGGGTGCTCAGAAGCCGTTCCACAGCCCTCCAGACAAAGATGGCAGTGCGCAGAAGGCCCAACGTTTGCAAAAATCTATAATCGTAGATAAAAAAAAAAAAAAAAATACAGCTTGTGTTTTTGTGTTCGTGTTTCGTCGGCTTTGTGCCCACAAAACACAAACCGGTTGGGACTCATAATATATAAACATACCGAGCAATCGCGTTATAAGTGGAATCCATAGTGGTCACCAACTGAGAAGAAAAAAACAACAAATGTTTAAAAAGTGTCACTCCCACTTTTGATTGCGGCTTTTCACCTAAAATAGTTCCTTTTTATGGCCCTTTGAACATATCCGTCTGGTCACCCCTGGCCTAGTGGTATGTATTCTTTTTGCGTTAAATGACTCGGAACTTCCACCTGCTCGCCCCAACGTGATAATCCGTTTGGGAGTCCACCTTACATATATCAATAAGGCAAAGAAGCGACGTGCACGTAGCGAGCAATGGCGCGTTAGTTTCGTCTTGGAAATAAAGACGCTACGGCTAATGGAAACAGTATATTCAGTTCTGTTCGCACGTACCCCCCCCCCCCCCCCCCCCCTTCCCCCCTCTTTTGTTTTCTTTCCACGCACTCATACACGCGCACACACGGAAGTATTTAATTGCACATGAACTTTGTTAGCTTACATAGCTTACATATCATATTTCCATTCCGATCGTCAACTAAACTGCAAAACTATTGTTCTACTAAATCGAGAGCGTACGAAGGGCAGTCCGAATCGAATTGTGCAGCGTCAGTCGTAACTTCCTCTGTACAAAAGAAAGAACTCGAGTTCCTGCTCCTCCTTGCAGAGCAGAGGCTATGATCGACGCTCACAGCGTAGTGTCGGTCACTCCCACCCCCACGACGTTTGCGCTGCCATGTCATCACGATCAGAACGTTGTTTTGAGTCCGCACTGAACTGTCCTGGCGCGGCAAACATAATCCAGTCTAGGCACCGCTCCTCGGCCAGCGCTTTCCACACTACTTTCATTTATATATTTCATTTCAACATAAAAAAACCCTGAAAAAAAAAAAAAAAAAAAAAAAACAGTCTACTGGGGACACGCGTGTCGAAAAATAAATTTTACGCGGAAAAAAATTTTTGTTGGAGCAATATTGATGGCGAGAGATTTATTTGAAATTCTGCGCGCAAAGTCCATCACGGAATGGTCATTCGCTCTTTCCGACCTCAACGAGGTGGGCATTCGGACTTTCCACCTCAACGTGAAGGCGAAGCCGATCCACCTCTCCTCCACGCGGCCGAAATGCCGAGAGAAAACAAGTGGAAAGGAGGTGACTACCGACTAACTCGTGTCTCGCGCCGACAATTCGCGACTCCAACTAACTATAGGTGGCGCCACTCATTTTCCAAAATGGCGGTTATAGTGAGGGTTGGATATGCGTGCCGCTGTTGAGCCTGTCTGGTGTGCTGGCTTCGCTGAGCGGCACAGATTATTTCTGGAAATACGAGGAAGCTAGGCTGTTATAAGCGCAGGTCACCTTTTTACCCTAAAAACAAGAACGGTGTTTAGCGTAATATTTACGCCAGTATGAGCTTTTTAATTTTTGAACGAAACCGAAACTAACCTCTATTTTGGATTTAATTTCTCGATATAGGTTTTAATTTCGGATTCTTTCTTAACTCAAAATGCGTCTCACATTGTAATTATTTTGTTAAATTTTGTTCGCGCAAAACTTTATTACTTGACATACATGTTTCAATCCAGGCTGATATTTGTGGTTGTAGAAAAAATCAGTGCTCCTATTGGTGCGTTCTCGCTGCCTTTTCTCGCTCAGATAATGGTCATGGAAAATAACGAATGGCTGGCCTTCAATGATTTTTTCGGGTATTTAGATGATTAATTGGTTTAACATTATTCCCAGCAAAAAAAAAAAAAAAAGAATAATTCCAATTTTTACAACACGTCCCCAAAATGTATAAATTAATAAACGCTGTTCTCACTGCAACAATCTAAAGACGGAATCCGAGTCAGACAGCTGAACTGTGCGTGTGTGTTTTTTATAGCAACGCGTGACGCATAAGACTTTACATTGCATCCAGTGTTTGACTGTTTGTCTATCTTGATAACGACGTCAAAGTTTTTCACATGCTAAAAAGAGAACAAAATTATACCTTTCTGGGAAGACTATTAAGTGGTGTATTTTCGTGATCTTGGCGCTAATCGGGGGCATACATTGCCGCGATTTGTATTAATAACAATAATGTTAAAATTCAGATATTTTAATACGTAACCTTTCAAGCTGTAATATAATTTGTTGTTTATTTAAATTTTAAACGCGCAAGCAAATATGACAATCAAAATTATGCTAATTATCACTGGTGCCAATTGCAGCATTTTCAATTACCAAGTAATAAAATAAAAATACCCTAAAATCAGCGAAAGCATTCTAGCTAATGTGAGAAATCCATGTAAAATTACATTAATATTGGGTAAAGTACATTTTTCTATCAAAGTGGCGACTTTTGACAATCGGCAAAACGTCCAAAGTCGGCGCCAATATCTTTCTAGACCAAATGCCGAAAAATGAAAAAATATATATTTTTTTTAATAATTAATCTTTTCATAACATTTAGTTGCTTTCATTTTTACGCTCCGTCGTTTAGAGAATCTCAGCCTTTCCAGTTCGACGGAACGCCTACATGCTTGCACATCTACTCACTGCAGCACGTTTCGTTGGCGTTGGAAGCCGGTGAAACAGTAGTGAGTATTAGTATTGCGTATACGAGCGAACGCAAGCGCTGTGTGTTTGCGTTAGCTTTGCGTGTTTCACACTGCCTGTGTGCGGAGCCCGAAATCGCGGTCTTGGATGGCGCATGGCGATGAGACGCATGCACCAACGTGGAACGCAAACGGATAGCGCTTTCGTTTGCTTCTACGCGCAAAACTAAAACTCTCCAGTAAGGTAGTACAATCCCATACTGGCTGCAGCACTGGGACAATGAAGAGTGTTGTTTGCATTCGGAAATGACATCGCGCGAGCCTTGCTCGCGAACAGTTCCGCCGTGCCCGCTGGGCAGGAGAACCGGGGGACCCTCACTAGAGCGCTTCCCGTTTTTGCCGCGGGAGGGCGAGCAGCGAGTTGGAGACGCGAATACTGCTCTAAATTTTTTTAGCTCAAATTTTCGGACACGCGCGTGCCCCAACCAACACTTAAAAAAAAGGGGGGGGGGGGGGGGCGTGGGTTTTCCGGTTAAACGCAGCCGACGGAGGTAATGGAACCACTCAAGCAGCATCAAAAACGCAACGTAACTCAGTATAATTTCCGAGCCAACCGTGCTCACCCATGCATGCGCTCCCCCATATCAACTGCTGCTCCTAACGCTGCGGTGCAAAGCGGCGAAGCTAGACGTGAGCCCACTAGGCCTTTTCCGTCTATGATTGGTTCAGCAATCACAGAACGCGTATACAGAAACACGACGAACACCATGATGGTGCGCTTTTGACGCTGCATGACTGGTCCCACCAGCTCGTTGGTTGGGCTGCGTCTGCATCAGGGACTTTTAGCAAACCGCTA